ACCCCTTGACCGATTTGCCTCAATTTTTTTAATCGGGGAACTGCTTTGTAGATCCACGGAAACTTTTAATTTTCAGGCCAAAAAAATGGACCATCTTCTTTAACATTTATCTTAAACTATTTAGCTGTAATATTATTTAGCACAATAGTAATTATACTGTAAACTGTGAACTAGACAGTGGGAGAAGGAAGAATGTGTCCAACATTTCCGATGATATTAGAAAACAAATTTATCCTGTTAGCTATTAAAATTTCAAACATTTTTGTACTTCTCAATAGCTCTTCAATAAGAATAATTAGGATTGAAAACATCTAAGATTTTAATCTTTAAGGGAGTGACCGGTAATGTAATGGTAGTTGATCTGAGAATGTAATATTGTGGAGAATTTTTTTAGGATTCATTTGAGACATATAAAACGTTTTACTGATGTATGAATACTGAGTTTGAGCGCAAAGTTAAAAATCATCCATTTGGGTAGTTAGGTTTTGAGAATCGATTTTTTAAAAATTATCAAATAACGGTGGCAAAAAATGTAACAACTATTTTACGGTTACCTAATTAGTTGTTTAGGAAGAGGTTGAGAAAATAAAAATAGATTCTTTTAATCGAAATTGAGTAATTTTATTCAGTTATCAGTTTCTGTAATCTCTCATTGTTCACAAATATTTTCTGTAGATTTTCCGGGTTTTTTGAAAAGACGACATTTGCAGTGTTTGTAGAAATCTGCGAACAAATTTGTAAAGCATAAGAAATTTAATATAATGGTCAAAAAGAAATAATTGATTAGTCTAACATTGATTTATTGACAAAGGAATTGAGTCTTTGCCACAAACTTAAATTTTTGAATTCCAATATCTTAGCGACCTGATGTTGTAAATATTTGATATTTCAAACTTATATCAGCTGAGCTAACAGAATTCATAGTTTGAACTATGTAAGATCTACGACAATATAAGGATTAGAAAATCAGAGTTTGTTGCAAACACTCAATTCCTTTCTATTAGAAAATCAGAGTTTGTTGCAAACACTCAATTCCTTTCTATTAGAAAAGTTTGTCCCTAAAACATCTAATTGGTTTACTATGGAATATTTTATACATTTTTCACCGTCGTTTTTTAATAATTAAAAAAATTCAATTCTCAAAACGGAACCACTTAAATGGTTGCTTTTGAACGTCGACTCAGTAATTAAACATTATTAAAACGTTTTATATGTCTAAAAATAATCCTAAAAAAAATTCTCCACAATAGCACATTTGCAGTTCACTACCATACATTGCCGGTTACTCTCTTTAAATGCATTTTCTTTAGTTTAATGAAAAAAGATGTTGTTTGATGCAGAACCATAAACATTCCCTTTAAGTAAGTAAATGCTTAATTAGATATGTGTGAGGGGGGAGTTGAGAGATAAGACAACAAATACAATATATAAGATATATATCAAATTATATCTAAATATCTATATATCTACATATATATAATATAATATNGAAATCATTCCGGAATTCTGGATTTCCGGAACCTTTTCCATAATGGAAATGGAAAAAATTTCCGGATCATTTCCGTACGTAAACCGTAACCCGGAATTCCGGTGGAAACCCTAATTCTTACCCATCCTTGCCTTTTTTAAACTGTTTTTACCCATTCCAAACCATTCTTATTCGCTTTTGTTCATTCTCGTCCATTCTTAATTACATTCATTCTTATTCTTAATCAATTTTTGTCACAATATTCCTCTTATAAGGCATTGTCTTGTGTTTTATGTTGAGAATGGACAAAATGAATATATTCTGATAATGTTTTCATTTACAAACATTGCATCAATTGAAGCTTACATTGAGTTATAATTATTTCAATTTCTAATTACTTTTGCCGTTCACATATTTATTCTTGAATGGATCCCGTAAACTCGCAATATATTCGGATGTCGTCTTTGTTACCGCAAGCTTTTTGGAAGAAACACATATATTTTATAGCAAAAGCACAAGAAAGCGCAGGATAATCTAAATATATAAATAGAGTCTAACAGCCATATAGAAAGATGTAGGGGCACCAGCAGCACCCTGTAACCTTGATTTAATCAGAGTAGCGTGTTGAAAAATCCTATTTTAAGCGTTTTAAATGAAATAGCGCGTTTTCGGTCATAATTCATATTTATTAAAGGAAATATTTTTTATCTTTTATGTGTGAACAAGGCATATATATTGTAAAGATAAGGTTTATCAGTGTGGTTGGGGGAGGGGGGAATGTAAACAAAGAATATTAGTATTATAACACCTGCTAGAAGTTTAGGATATCCGTCAGTGAATTTTCACATTTTGTATTTATTCATACCCGTTCTTACTTATTCTTTCCCATTCTTACTTATTCTTTCCCATTTTTACTCATTCTTTCCCATTTTTACTCAATGTTTCCCATTTTTACCCATTCTTTCCTATTTTTACTTGTTCTTACCCATTTTTACCCATTCCTTCTTTTTTTTTACCTATTATTTCCTATTTTTACTCATTCTTTCGCAATTTGCTTAATCTTTCCCTTTTTTACTCAATCTTTACCATTTTTACTCAATCTTTCTTATTTTTACTCATTTTTCCCCATTTTTACTTATTCTTTCCAATTTTTTACCCATTCTTTCCCTTTTATACCTAATCTTTCCCACTTTTACTCATTCTTGGCCATTTTTACTTATTTTTTTCCAATTTTTACCAATTCCTTCTATTTTTACCCATTCCTTCCCATTTTTACTAATTCTTCCCCGATTTTACACGTTATTTCATATTTTTACTCATTCTTATTTGTTCTAACCCATTCTTTTTCATTTTTATCCATTCTTATTCTGTCTTAACTATGTTCACTCAGTCATGCCAATTCTTACGTGTTTACCCATTCTCACCTACATTAAACTAATTGTAGTCTGTTCCCATTCTCACACAATCGTACACATTATCACTCATTCTCTCACTTTCTTACCGATTATTACCTAATATTACCTAAACTTTCCTATTTTTACGCATTCTAGGGTTTCCATTTTTCGGGGAAAAAATTTCCATTTTGGAAATGGAATGATCCGGAAATTTGTTGCGTAAACCGGAATTCCGGGATAATTCAGGATCAAATGGAAACCGGAATGTTTACGGTTTATGTAACGTAACGTAACACTAACGTAACGTAAACCGTAAAATTTCTAGTTTCCATTTCGTAAACCGGAAATTTTTCCGGTTTACGTAACGTAAGCCGTAAAATTTCTAGTTTTCATTTCGTAAACCGGAAATTTTAACATAATATTAGACATAGAAAGCAATGTTAAAACATTAAAAGTTAAAACTTAAAACAATATTTTTGACAAATTAGTTTTTATTTTTCAAGAGGGTCATCAGATAGGCTTATGCCCCCCCCCCTCCCTCTCCGTATTTGATCAGGATGGGATGAAATGAACTATATAAATAAGAGTTTATAAAAACTAGGCTTTAAAATGGTGAATTAAAAAAATAATAAATTTCGACGTTTTTTCCCGCATAAATTTTTAACTAGTTATAAACTTTCCCTTTGGCCATGTGAGTTGCCTCACAAATGTTGGGCTCGGTCGGTTCAGCTGTTTGGACGTTTATTGGATACACACAGACAACAAACAGAGAAGCAAAGTATATAAATAGAGTGAGAACCAGAAAACTCTGGAATAGGAGGACGACTTTTAGACTTAAATTATGACTCTTAATAGTTCAATGAACATGAGACACGGAAATTACGTAGTATATACTATGCTGTATACAGACCAATTTAAGTGATTTTAAAAGTTACTATTTAACCTATTTGCTTTGTAACAACATCAATTAGACTCAAGGATTGCTATACATGTCGTCTTCCTTTCCACAGTTTTCTGTAGATGAAATTATTTTGAGACATGGCAGTCAGGATTTATATTATTTCATGATAATTCACAGTAGTATTACTTTAAATACAGCTACACCATGCGCACATTCTATTGCTCTGTAGATAGTATTACTTACAGGTTTTATCTTTTACATAAGTTTAAGATGTCTTCAACGTTTTCCGGAACCTTTTTCCGGAAAATTCCGGAACAATTGTTCCGTAAACTGGAATTTTCCGGAACACTATTCCGTAATGTTCCGTAATTCCAGAACAACGTCCCGGAAATTTCCGGTTTACGGAAAAAAATCGTTCCAGAAATCATTCCGGAATTCTGGATTTCCGGAACCTTTTCCATAATGGAAATGGAAAAAATTTCCGGATCATTTCCGTACGTAAACCGTAACCCGGAATTCCGGTGGAAACCCTAATTCTTACCCATCCTTGCCTTTTTTAAACTGTTTTTACCCATTCCAAACCATTCTTATTCGCTTTTGTTCATTCTCGTCCATTCTTAATTACATTCATTCTTATTCTTAATCAATTTTGCCTATGTTTGACAAATTCTTACCAAGTATTAACGATTATAACCTATTTACCTAGTTCCCAATTTCACTCCTACTCTGTTCTGTTTCATTATCCATGTTCTTGCATAGTTTTATTAATGATTTCTAGTGAATACATTTTTAGTTTTTAATTTCCAGCCAGCATAAATAATATCTTACAGATGCATAACAGTTAATTTTTCATATACTTAAGATATGCAAGCAAACACAATTGATATACAGAGCTATACTTTAAGAATGAGACTTCAAAGACGACTGGACGGAACTTATTTAGTATTAGTTATGTTGCAGTTGCAGTTGTGTAAACTAGTATTCACTGTTCAAAATTGTTTTGTATATTATTTTTTGATTCATGAAACTATAGAATAAGAAGACTACTGTAGGAGTCAAGTAATGATTTTAAATAGTCCAATGAACATGAAACACAGCAATTGTGCAGTGTACACAGACCCATTTGGTTATTTTTCAATCTGCGGTAAACTATTTTCATCTGATACTCCTAATATGTCGTCTTCCCATTCCATATTTATGGGAACCACTGTTCAAAATTTAATTTTTTTAACAAATTTTTAAAAATTAATTTTATAATTCAGTACAACCAAAAATGAGATCTGTTGCGTTACTGCTCGTTTTGACTGTAATCACCGCCACCTTGGCAGAGGACGACATTGAGATAGAAATCCTCGATCTTTTTGGAGTTGTAACAAACAAAGCAGGTACTCTGTAAACACAGTTTTAGAATTTCTGTAATAAAAATGGGTTTTATAGACAGAAATTTTGTTTAATGTAAACTTATGGTTTCGGCTATAAACTACAGGGTTACCGACAAAGGAGGAGACTTTGAAGACTAATGAACGGATTTGTTATGTTTTATGATTCTTTCATAATGTAAGCTTGTTTCTTTCTTTTCAAAACCATTAAATACGCCATAAAATATTTTATTCAAGATAGAAAACTTAATTCAACCTTGACATTGTCATTTCAAATCGTCTTTACAGTTTCATCAATCAAGGGTAACCCTGTATTGTTTTTTTTTTTCTCGACAAAATCGTATTTTACGAAAGTCTATACCCAACGCAAGTTTAGAATCCTCTTTTATTTATTTCGGCTGGAAACGATCACAACTAAATATCCAAGATAACTGTGTTCTCTCAAATGTTTGAAGAATCCATTTAAAGTTTTTATTTAAAGTTTATATTTCAAAATTTGATTTCCTATTGCATATTTATTAACAGAGCTTTACCAGTTGGCCTTTAACAAATTATATAATTAATGATGCTGATGCTGAAACTTTTTAATAAGGATGCACATAAAAAAGATAATAATGGTAGTAATAATGATAATAATGATACTAATGATAACAATGATAGTAGTGACAAAAATAATCTTAATGATCATAATGATCATTATGATAATTCTGATAATAATAATAACAATTCTAATTCTGATAATAATAATGATAATAATGACAAAAATAATTATGATAATAATGACAATAATGAAAATGATAATGATTCTAATAATGATAATAATGATAATAATGATAGTAATAATGATTATAATAATGATAATAATAATGATAAAAATGATAATAATGTTAATAATGATTATAATGTTAATAATGATTATAATGATAATAATGATTATAATGATAATAAAGATAGTAATATTGATAATAATAATGATAAAAATAATGATAATAAAAAGATAATAATAATGATAATATTGCCTAGGGTTCAGTTTGAATGTTACCTGTAAGCTGACTAACCCAGGACAAGATGATTCCATCTCATGGTTTCTAGGGGGAAAACCTTTAGTTAATAAAAACAGGTTATTATTATTATTATTATTATTATCATAAAGTAAAATATCTGTTTGTTTGTTTGTGTGTCCGATCATAACTAATGCACGCTTTACTAATGCACGATTTACCTAAAATTTTGTTTGGACATCTCGTGAGAACCACGGTAATGTTCTTAGCCTCAAAACCATTTAACTTGAGTAGATCGACTTTAATAGGTCATCATCTGTTTTGACTTGGATGAAAGTTAATATTTTGCAGGCAAAGGTGGGTTCCCAAGTTATTTTAACATTTATTATAAATTTTTATTTTTATAAAAAGAGCAGTGATTTTTTTCTCTGAATTCCCAAGCTATATTTAAAGCTATAGTTATAAAGAACGTTTTTATGAAAATCACATTTTGTGAGTAAATACATGGTGTCCCTGTAAACATGGGAATTAAATCGTCTATATCGTCTTTGATCCATGCTTATTATTTCTAAAAACACAATATTGTGCATGGTAAGACAATTAATACCAAAACCTAGTCTCGGAATTTCCAAAATGTGGTTTACCATTTTCTGAGTCCTGTCCTAGAGAACGATTTTTGGTCCCCCCCCCCCTATGCCCCCTCCTCTATGATTAGGTTAGGACAATTTTTGGGCCAAGAGTTACGGCTAGGACAGGCTAGGAGGGCCGAGCGCTGCAGCCAGGACAGACCTTCAATTTCAACAATTTTCAACAAAATTAGTAAATATTTAGGGTTAGGTTTTAGGTTAAGAAACTTTCTGGACCGGGAGCTGCGGTTAGGAAAGACTAGGGGGCTGAGCGCTGCGGCTAGAACAGACTAGGGGGCCGGGCGCTGCGGCAACATGACCTGCGACTTCATCCATGTGTGTCTTTTTTAATTTTACCTAAAAATCGATTAAAAATGATGTACCAAATTTTTTAGGAGAGAGGGGGGGGGGTCCAAAAATCGTTCTCTAGGAAATTCCCATTTTTTAACCTTCAAAATTCACGGAAATATTAGGAAATTTGTCCAGATTCCAGTTTATTAAAAATCAATAAAACGATTCAAATGTTTGATACATTTTGTATCATACATTAGAATAAGAGGGGGGGGGGGGACAGATGGATTGACCGAGACCAAAGTTTTCATTTTTATACAGGGTTGCCCTCAATAAATGAAACTTTAATTTTGGTCTGAAGATGTAGTTTCATTTGCAATTTTACAACTGCAGTAAAAATCTGCTTTATAAAAAACTAGCTGAAGTGCCCGGCGTTGCCTGTTGATTTTTTCCAATTTTTGAAAAAAAAATCTAATTTAAAAAAAAAACATTTTTACCCTATGTTACTCAGGTGTTCCCTCAACAAATTTTAGCTCATTCGGTCCAGCCGTTTGGCAAGCTATAGCTAATATTTGTATATGAGCAAAGAGCTTTATTATATAGATAGTTTGTAATTTTTGTATTTAGGGTTGTTTACGAATCTGGGAGTAGGTCGTTGGAACAGTCCTATAATTTAGTATTGGATATCAGCATGGATAATCAGGATCTTGCTTGTACCTGTAGAGACGTTAAAGTAAGATTTTTTAATACAATTTTAATCTTTAACAGAAAGGGTAATTTTCTAACAAATAAACTGTGAGCTATCCCTTTTAGTTTTTAAACTTATAAATATATACAATAATCATACTTGGATACATTCAGCTGATTATACTGCCTGGCACCTAGCCTGCATTTTCCTTATTAGCCTGTCCTAAACACAGCATTTGTGCCCTAGTATGCTTCAGCCGCAGCATTAGTCTCCTCAGCTTGTCATGGCTGCAGCGTTTGGCTCTGGATAAGCCATAGAAATCAGTTCTTTAGCTTGTCCTATTCACAGAGTTCGGTCCCTAGCTTGTCCCAGTCGTAGCATTCTGCTCCTTAGCATGTACTAGCCACGGCATTCGTTCCTTAGCTTTTCCTAGCTTTTCCTAGCCTGTCCTAGCCGCAGCATTTTCCTAGCCTGTCCTTGCCGCAGAATTTTCCTAGCCTGTCCTAGCCGCAGCATTTGGTTCCAAGTTTATTCTAGTCAAAGCATTCGTTCTGTCCTAGCCGTAGGATTCGACTCCTCAGTCTGTCCCAGCATTCTTCTCCATATCTTATCCTAGCCGCAACATTCTGCTTCATAGGCTATCCTAGCCGCAACATTCTGCTCCATAGGCTATCCTAGCCGTAGGATTCTGCTCCAAAGCCTATTCTGGCTGCAAAATTCTGCTCCATAGCCTGTCCTTGCTGTCGCATCCTGCTCAACAGCCTAATCTAGTATCTAGTCACAGCATTTTGCTCCATAGTCTGTCTTAGCCGAAGCATTCTGGTCCGTAGCTTGTCCTAGTCGCAGCATTTTCCCCCTAAGTTTGGGGAGGATCGAACTTCTAAATTACACTCAAAATATTTTTTCTTCCTTGAATTTAAAATTTTCTTTTTTTAAACTAACGTAGTGTATCTACTCTTAATCTGATATAATGTAATTAATTACTCTTGAGTCTTGAATCACGTGATCAGCAGAGTGTTTAATGACTGTTTCTCAGTTGGGGGTTAACCCTTTAAATCCAGGTTCAAGGGGTTTAATGGTTCATTTATACTAGATCTCTCAGTCCTCTCTGCTCTCTGTATTATCAATTATAACATAATCTTAAATAGGTATTCAGTGAAAATTCGTTCGTTTTCAAAATTGTCATTTATTTGTAATCTGTTTCTTTCGTTTTCTAACAGAATTAACGCTGAACTATATTGTTTGTTTGGAAAAATCGTTTGTTCAAAAAAACATTTCAATAAAAACGTTTTTTTTTTCAAATTGTTCATTCAAAAATCGTTACTTCAGTCAAAAAAACGATTGGTTTTTCAAGTTGAAAAATTCGTTTGTTCAGTAAAAAGCTTTTTCAAAAGTTTGTTCGAAGAATTATTCGTTCTGTAAAAAATTATAGTTTTTTTTTCAAGTTTGTTTAAACAAAAAATTTAAAATCGTTCGTTCGCGAACTGCTCAATAAAATGTAAACATTTGTTAACAATTTAATTCGCTCGTTTTGTTTATCTCGTTAATTTTGTAAAACGATCAAACTTTTTCTCGCGAATTTTTCCAGTTTCAAATATTCCAACAAAATTTAAATTGATTTTTATTTATTCATAAATTAGCCATTAAATTAATTTGATTAGAACTATGGAATTTTTAATTGTTTAAAGATAAGCAACCTGAGGTCGGAACTATTCTATGAGATAGCACTAATCCACAACAACTAATCCACTTCATATTCACAACAAACAATTTTAATTTGAAACAATAAAATAATTAATCTGTGAACAAGGATCAATTGTAGTTTTTTAATTTCTCATTTTTTTACATTTGATTTGATTACAAGCACTGAAAATAAATAAATATTTACCAGAAAACTCTAAAAAAAGGAAGACGACTTTTAGAATCAAATTATTACTTTAAACAATCCAATGACCATGAGACACAACCATTTTTGTTTTAAATCTTTTCATTGTAAAAAGTTAATTTTAGTGTGCTTTAAAACTATATATATTCTTTGAACGAATTTTGTTAAAAATAAAATCCATTTCTACCCCTTTAACCTTTTCCTTTCTTTATTTTAGAATTTAAGCAATCTCCCATTTTATCAGGCATGCCCGATTCACGGCAGTAACATTTAAACCATTATTTGATTAAAGGGAGTGATCGCGAAAAATGAAAGGGGGTATAGGCTTACGGCGAAAAATTTTTGATGGTGATCACATCTAATTTTACCTCGGTCTTTTGCGTCTATAAGGAGAAAAAATTGTTAAAAACGACTCATACCGAAGAACGTAGCGTCCATACTCCATACAAATTCAGAAAGTTTACTCGGATCGAAAAAAAAATCATTTTAATTCTTAACAAATAAATTAGATATTTTAAACCTATAATCATCAATAATGTGTCGACTCATTCGCTTATAGTTGATGTTTCATAATATTTGTTATTTGTTTTATATACAATGCACTTAAAACGACGATTTATTCCCGCTAGGTGTCTCTGCCACATGGAATCATTTAAAGCATTAAGAGCAGAGACACCTGGCGGCCAACTAATTTGCGTTTTAAGTGCTTTGTATATAAAACAAATAATAACTATTAATATTACTGTTATTTTGGTTCGCAGTATTTTACAATTTTTGGACTTAAATTTTCTTTATATCTCGAAGGTTCAATCCTTTTTAGATTTTATTTTGTCCCGAGCTTTAATCTAAAAAGGCGAGAACCCTTGAGATGTACAGACAATTTAAGTCCAAAAACTTTATAGCACGTCGTGCCAAAATAACAGTGTTATAAGTAATTTTATGAAACGTTTGTGCACTTGTCTTTTTTCAATGGCTATTTCTAGATCAAAAAAGCGTTGAAACAAAGCAGAAGTCAAAATATAAAGTTGATTTCAATTTTATTTGCATTTTAAATGAAAAAAAATATTTTGAAAATATCCTAAATTTTTTGGAAAAAAATCCGGGGCCCAATCCCTGTGCGGGAAACTAATCTATGAACCTTTTGATCTAAAAGGAATTTCATCTAAGAGTAATCTGATCTAATGAGAATTTAATCTAAAAAACGTGGAAATTGATCTAAAATACTTTTTTATATCTAAGTCCGCATTTTTCTGAAAATTTTTGGAATTTGATCTAAAAAATGTGGAATCTGATCTAAAATATTTTTTTTTCAAATTTGAGCTCCCTGTTCAGTTTTATATATTTGCCAAGTGAAGATTGTCATAAAAATTTTTCTGCCATAGTTGTGATTTTGATCTATAGATATGTGTAATTGGATCTAAAATATGTTGAATGTGATCTAAATTTTTTTTTCAAAAAATATATATTTCAGATAACCGTTATGCTTCAAATCCTTAACTTTATTTGCTTAAAATATGGAATTTGATCTAAAAAGTGTTTACTTTGATCTAAAAAATGTAGACTTTAATCTAAAATTTTATAATTTGATTAAAAATATTAGATTTAAAAGTTAAGAAATGTGTAAGGTTGACACCTTAATGGTGAAAGAGTTGGGGTCATGGGGTCAGGATCTTCATATTTTAGATCAAATTATACATTTTTTAGATCGAATTCTTCATATTTTAGATCAGATTATACATTTTTTAGACCTAATTCTACAAATTTTAAATACAGAAATCTGTACTTCCAATATAATTTCTGCACAAAATTTGGGAATTTTATCTGTAATATTTAGAATTGAATCTAAAATATTTGTTTTAAAAAAATAAACATTTTAAAATGACATTTTTGAATCAAAATTTATAAAAACCAAAATTTAGATCAAATTCCACAATTTTCCCGAAAGAATTGGAATTTGGTCAAAATTTTTTTTAGATCTAAGTCCACTTAGATCAGATTCTTTTAGGTCAAATTGCCTTTAGATCAAAAGGATTATAGATCGATTTCCTATGCACCGACCAATCAAAACTTTTTAGCACACGTGCTATAATGTACTGCTAATTTAACTTTAAGGCACTATGATTACTTTAAAGCACGTTCATTATGAAATTTTCGATGAAGTGAGGAAGAATGATAAAGTACACAATAGTTTCATAAAACATATTATGAAATATCAACTATATCCAAATGCGTCAAAAAAATTTTAGATGATTATAGGATGTATAAATATATGAATAATTTGTTTGGAATTAAATTGATTTTTTAAGATCCGAGTCGTGTGTTGAATCTTTCTAAATTTGTATGGACGCTACGTTCTTTTAACAATTTTCTCCTTATAGATCACCATCGATAATTTTTCGCCTTAAGCCTATACCCCCTTTCATTTTTGCGAACACTCCCTTTAATTATGTGGATGATATCGTCGTTTTTTCTCTGAATATGATAGGATCATTGTATTAAAAAATAAGATCTAAAACCCTCCGTATATGATTATAATATTTAATATGGTCTGAAACTCTCAGTATGTGTTTTTCCAAGATTATTTTCCCAAGGGCGACTTCCCAAGTTGCGAATTTCCCAAGTGTCCAATTGGGGGGTCGAGCACTGCAGCTAAAATGGGCTTGGGGACCGAGTGTTGCAGCTAGACATACATAGAAAGTTGCAGCTTGGGATAAAGCATATGGGAAAGTACAAGTACCATTGTACAAACTCATGATAATAAAGGATGCCCTAAAACTTTTGTATATATTTGTCATATATAAGGATGCCATGAACCTCTCTGTATATAATTATGATATTTAAGGATGCCCTAACTCTCTGTATATATTTATGATATTTAAGGCCTTGAACCTCTCTGTATATAATTATGATATTTAAGGACACCCTGAAACTCTCTGTATATGATTATGATATTTAAGGACACCCTGAATCTCTCTGTATATAATTATGATATTTAAGGGTGCCCTGAAACTCTCTGTACATGATTATGATATTTAAGGATGCCTTGAAACTCTCTTGTATATATGATTATGATATTTAAGGATACTCTGAAACGCCCTAAAATGATTATGATATTTAAGGATGCCCTGAAACTCTCTGTATATTATTATGATATTCAAGGATGCCCTGAAACTCTCTGTACATGATTATTATATTTAAGGATGCACTGAAACTCTCTGTATATAATTATGATATTTAAGGATGCCCTGAAACTCTCTGTATATGATTATGATATTCAAGGCTGCCCTAAAACTCTTTGTACATGATTATTATATTTAAGGATGCCCTGAAACTCTCTGTATATGATTATGATATTTAAGGATGCCCTGAAACTCTCTGTATATGATTATGATATTTAAGGATGCCCTGAAACTCTCTGTATATGATTATGATATTTAAGGATGCCCTGAAACTCTCTGTATATGATTATGATATTTAAGGATGCCCTAAAACTCTCTGTATATGATTATGATATTTAAGGACACCCTGAAACTCTCTGTATATGATTATTATGATATTTAAGGATGCCCTGAAACTCTCTGTATATGATTATGATATCCCTGACAAAGTCATTTTCCCTACTCTATTGCATGAAGGAGACAGTGCCACATTGCAGGTATTAATTAAGTATGAATGTTGCACCATATTCTCAGATAGAGAGATATAGAAGTCAAAAAGTTTAGATGTCAGGTATTTTTAATGTGCCTGGAGGATAGCAACCTAGCCTCTCGCCTCGTGTTTCCATCTTTTTCTCTACTCCTAATCAATTTTTCGTATTCTTTTCTTCACAATAATTATCCGTGAAATTTCACAGGATATTAGAGATATTACCCGAATTTTAGTACAATTTTTACGAAATTCACGAAACCTCTCACTACATTCTGAGAAGGATTTCTTAATATGCGAAACATACTGAAGATGGACTAACAAATCAAATTTAGGTTGGAATAATGATCTACCCACCACCCAAAGATGGAGATGTTCACTGGGAAATAAAAAAACCGTCTGGAGAAACTATTACAAGGTAATTAAACTATATTACTTCTCTACCATACTCTTTTAAGGATTGTAAGAAAGATCTTTTTAATTCGCGCCGATTTTTGAACCCCCCCCCCCCCCAACCCTTTCTGCAAAAACAAATTATACTTTAAACTTTTTTGTTTATTTAGAATAATTGTTGTTGAGTGTAAAAATGAGACTTTCTTTGATGTTTATAATTAAATAGTTTCAATAAAAGCAAACATATACATTATTTTCAATTTGCAATGCTTTAAATTTGCACTAATAATAATCAAAAACCATGATTTTTTTTTTAATTTAAACTTTATTTTTTAAATCTTGTCCGATTGAAAAATGTTCCCATAAAACCATTATATGATCTTGATTATGAATTATTACATATCCGTGTTTTTCTTTTTTTTCTTTTCCGGTTTCTCCACAAAATTGACTTGTGGATTTCTTGCTTTGGAAACACTGAAGAAATTATCAAAATGAAACACTTTTTACGCTTCTTCGATATAATTGATTAGAACAAGGTCTCTAGGGTACCCTTGTTAAAAATGAAGGGTTATTTTAAATTACAAGAACAGTCCCTTTAAAAAAATAAAAAGTTAAAAGCATGATTGTAACATGCATGGTTTTACGGAGTGTGACATGTTTTTCAAATGAACATTATTTGATTTTATTAATAATTATATGTTTTAAATCAATTTTTATCATAAGTGAAATATCATGATAGTTTTACATGTTTTTGATTTTTTTATTCTTAATGTGCTTGTTGCACTTTTGTTTAACACGAAATAGCATATTCTTAGATAATTTGACAATTTAATGACAGGAATTTACCATGAACCAAATGCTTTTATCATTTATATATTTTTGCAATAATTAAATAACATGTTTTAATTACAGTTTTATAGACTAACGTATTTAAAAAATGAATTATGAATTTCTATTTCTAGTCTTGAACCTGGACAGAACGACATGTATGGATCAATTGAAGCTTTAAAGGAAATCTTTAAATTTATCCATTAGCGGACACTTTAAAAATGAACGTTTATACTTCACAATGAATCTGAAATGCTGGTTAAAATCAGCAAACCTTTTTTTTAGAGCACATTATCAACCATTAATTGGAAATTTTTCAAATTTGCTATTTCATACTTTTAAGTTGGGCCAAAATTTTAAACATTTTAAACATTAAAGTAAAAGAAGTTTTTCACAATCATTTTGATGGAATTGGAATGAGAGATAAAAATATGACTGAAAAAAGTTTAAGATCATTTCTATGTGAATCAATTTGATTTTTTTTTCTGAACATTTTCCGGAATTTGTTTAAAAATATTTAATGATTTGTTTAACAGCCGATAATATCAGGAAATCCTCCAACCAACTATATCTACAAGTAAGCTATATTATAGGTTCTAACGTCCCATTTAAAAAAAAATCATGCTTTCACGTTTTTCCAATTTTTTTACTTCATTCATAAAAGTTTTCGAAGAGAAACAAGTTGATATTATAATCCATATATCTTTGCAATCTTAGGTTGGAAACCATTGACATCTCAAACTATGATTTTTTTATATCAAAAAGTCTAAGTTCAAATCATAAAATTTTTTCACTTTGAGGTCGAAAAGATACAGGGACCATGTTTCCTCAATATGTGTCCTCAATGTGTTCCCTCAATCTTGGTTCTTAATTCCTCAATATATATATTATCTAAGGTGTTCCACAAAAACCCCTTAAAGCTTAAATGTAAAACTTTATCTCTGAACCTTGCATGAATGTTTTATGAAAAAAGTGTGTAAAGAACAAAGATGATGAGTACAAGTTTGTTTATTTTAGAAAACAAGTTTAATATTTAATTAACTCCAACTCATGATAAAAGCAGGGAAAATATAATTCTAGACCATGCTAAATAAATCATAAAATATAAAAATTGCTTAGATATTTTAGTTAAATGAAACCTGAACATTTCGTTCGCAATATCAAACATCCAGAACAAAATTCGAAAGTATTACTTATACACAGAATATTAACTAATGTTAATTCGCACAATCAAAATCATGAAAGGCTTTTAATCGAAATTATTAATGACATTTTACAGTGCACGGTTTGTTTAGGTTGTTAATTAGCTCCATTAGCAGAGTGGATGCTTCTAACAGACATTTTCTTAAAATTAGTCAACTTGGTAAATATCTATATATATATATACTACACTACACTACACTACACTACACTACACTACACTACACTACACTACACTACACTACACTACACTACACTACACTACACTAAACTGCACTACACTACACTACACTACACTACACTACACTACAATAACTGGAATGCTTATATTTGTTTGAAATGTAAATATTTTATCTATTTACATATTTATAAAATATGTACTCTAGTAAACTTATATCTAGGTATAAATGGAACAATTTGAAGATGTAAATATATTCAAATATATGTCACATAAATGTCCTATCTCATTTTATTCAAATTTTAAATAATCTAAAGGAAACATCACTTTTTAAACTATTTATTCAGGAATAAGTCACACAGTAGAATTCAGCATTTCAGTCCAACTGCAGGTAAGTTTGTTGTTTATATTCGGCAAGTTAGAAAAGAAATGGTTACAAAAAAGCAGAGGAATTTCATAGTTTTTATTTTTACTTTTGATTATGAAATTTCGGTAAGGATTTGAAATTTTGAATTTAGCAACTAGAACTATTTCTGAAGAAGTTCCCCGAATATTTAGAATAACGATATCAATTGTATTCCAACATTTGTAAATGGTTAACAAAGACGGCATTAAAATGTTTAGTTCCTTGTTCTCACTGTTTTTAAAATTTTTGATCTGAAAATTAAATTTAAAAAGATCCGTATAAATTGTGCGAAGGAAGAGAATAAATATTTACATACGCCAATATCCATAGTTTGTCTTATCATTCTTCAAACATCACTAAGAGCAGTGCAAACATGTGGGGGCGCAAATGCCGCAATTTGGCGGGAAAATACAGTGTACAGTGTACACACATTCATTATATTTCCCGCATTTTTTGTGCAAAACCTAGGGGTGTCATTTGCTATACTCATTTTTTAGGGATTTCAGATGAAAAATTTCAAATCAGGTTTATATAAGCTTCCTTTTTTCAAAAAAGTATTTCTTATTTCCCGAAATTCTTGTACATCATTTTTGAAATGGTTATCACTCCTGAGCTGTGAACTTTAGAATGGTGGATATCAGGATTAATGCTTAATCCTATATTTTTGCTAATCTCGAGACTAACATAATCTCAAGATTATATTTTCTTGAGATTAAATACTTAGATCAACAAATTGGATTCCAAGAATGCCAGATTGGTTCGTTTTCTTGACAGAAAGGGCCCTCACTTAATTTCTCACCCATTTATTTATTGAAATCTAGATATTTATTTACGTATCATTTATAGTTTACAGGATTGTTGAAAATATGAATTTATCACAAAAATTTATTAACGAATTATCATGTGCATACAAATATAGATAAATAAATCAATAAAGTCGGAATAGATTTTAAAAGATACATTTTTTACGTATTTTTTCCATTTCTGAATTATTTGTAAGTTTATATT